CTAGGAATGTTAGTGAGATCATATCTAACTGGTCTGTGTATTTTCCCCGATCTCTTTAGTTTTATTCTAAATGAGCAATAAGAAATTCGTGATCTGAGCTACAGTCAGCTCCAGGTCTTGTTTTCACCGACTGGATGGATGTCCGCCACCTTTGGCTGCAAAGGATGTAGTCAATCTGATTTCGGTGTTGACCATCTGGTGAGGTCCATGTATAAAGCCGTCTTTTAGGTTGTTGGAAGAGAGTATTCGTTATACACAGCGAGTTTTCCTGGCAAAATTCTATCAGCCTGCGTCCCGCTTCATTTTGTTCTCCCAGACCATGCTTGCCTGTGATCCCTGTCATTTGACTTCCCACCTTGGCATTCCAGTCTCCTGTAATGAAAACAATGTCTCTTTTTGGTGTATTATCCAGTAGGTCCTGCAGATCCTCATAGAACTGATCTACTTCTGCTTCTTCAGCAGCTTTGGTTGGGGCGTATATTTGGATCACTGTAATGTTGAAAGGCTTTCCTTGCACTCGAATTGAGATCATTCTGTCATTTTTTGGGTTGTCTTGACAATATTTGAGTTTAAAAGGCCAGTAGCTGGTTGAAACTAGGGCAAGGTCAGTATTGAAATTGACTGGACATCAGCAGAGATAAAAGCAGATGCATTCCTGTGGCTGAAACCAACAACATTAGCCCAGCATGACTGTGGTTTCATGAAAAGCAAACAAAACAACAGGGAGTGGCCACATGCGAGAAATGAGCCAGAGATTGTGACTGTGAAATCGCACTATCAACAACCAGCCATTCTACCTCAGTTGAGCAGAGCCTATGGATTTATCTGTTATGTACCTACCTATGCATGGGATAGTCAGGTATAACTGGTGCCAATGGAGTAGTGAACTTTAATGAGTAGGTGAATGTGTAGAATCCTACCTCAATACAGGTTCAGCACTATGGATATTTCCTCTAAAGTTCAGGCCAAAGTTCAGAGTAGTTTCACGATGGAATAATGACCTGAAAGCCACCACCCTCCACTGAAGGTTGGATACTTTGCAGAGCTGAATAGCCTGGCTTCTTGATATATTGAGAAAGGTGGCACATCATGCATGTATCTAAGTGAAATATACCACTGCTGTCTCTTTGGCAGTGTCATACTAGAACCCACACACAAAAGGAAGTAAAACAATTCCTTAGGAACTCCAGATCCAGCTCAAATTCCTGCCAGTAGCAGGTAAACACGCACAAACATTCTGAGCTGGAACAGGTTTTGGCTTGTTGACATCTAAGCTGAATGTGTGAGAATGAGAGGGAGAAGCATGACTTTGCATTTGGGCCCTTTCCATGTTCCCTCCGAACAGCACCTCTGCTATCCTTGTATAATAGTAAAGCTGGGCATGGGTCCAACTGACATCACGTGAGAAGCCACAATCTTAGATGTAATCTCAGAGTTAAAGAAGAGTCTCTGGAGATTCAATACACTAGGGATTTATCTTAATCCCATTAGTTCCACCTACAAAATTAAGTGCCCCTTTGAGTCTTCTTTGGCAGTGACGATTTAGAGATACAGCTAATGACTTCATCACACTGAAAGGGGAAAGAATGGTTGACCATCCTGCAGTCCCATTATCCTAAACCAAGAGATCCCTTGCCCTACCCAAAGCTCCTTGCATTTAAGGAGACTGATGCCAGTTTAAAACCTCTTCTTCCCATGGGAAAAATTGTTCTGCCCCAGAAGATACAAGAGACAGTGATTCAGTTTAAAACCATTGCTTTCCATGGGATCCTCTTGATCTGCATGGAACCCCAGAGGGTACAAGAGACAGTGATCCAGGTTAAAACCATTGCTTTCCATGGGATCCTATTGATCTGCATGGAACCCCAGAGGATACAAAAGGCAGTGATCCAGGGCAAAACCGTTGCTTTCCATGGGATCCTATTAATCTGCATTAAACCCCAGAGGATACAAGAGGCAGTGTCCCAGATTAAAACCATTGCTTTCCATAAGATCCTATTGATCTGCATGGAACGCCAGAGGATACAAGAGTGTGCTGTCATTTGGGCAATGAAACAGGACAGGAAACTTTGATGGTTTCCATCACACCTGTTTTTCAGTTGTAAAGATGTATGTATGTATGTATGTATGTATGTATGTATGTATTTACTCCATTTCTACCCCGCCTTTCTCAACCTGAGAGGAGACTCAAGGCAGCTTATAATAAATCCGGCAAAAATTCAATGCCACACAGGTAAACAAACACATCTCATAAAAATATAAACAGTCTAAGGATATAAGTAATTAAAACTCATACCAATCTATCGATTAAATTAAAAACCACATATAAAATGCTAAGTCATGATCTCATGTCCAAATCATAGAATCATAGAATCAAAGAGTTGGAAGAGACCTCATGGGCCATCCAGTCCAACCCCCTGCCA